ACATTATGTAATTTTCAACACATTAAAAATAATTATAAATTATTCTGCGTAAATTTTGTTTGAAATATATTTAATTATTCATTAATTCACGTACATAGGCGTCTGAATTGCAGACTTGTTTAAAGAAATTAGAAACAAATCATAAACCGACGCAACTAAATGTCTCAAGGTATGTAAGATGATAAGTTAAATCACAGCGACAGACAAAAGCTTAAAATTTAAGTACCCGCTTTCCGCTGGAGTGACTAAGCTTAATGCTGTCTCGTAGATAACAAGGGCTTTTCAGTCGTTTTCGTGCTTGTCGCAGTAGGCTTCAAGTCAAATGATATCTCCAGCTAGTACTGTCTGTATAACGTTAACATCGCAAAAATTTAATTTTTTTAAATTCTACATTTATAGAATTGATTCTAGATTAAAATTAATTTATTACAACAAATGCAGTTGTGAAATTAATTCTGAATTAAAATTTTAATTTCATATATCTGCATTTGTAAAATAAATAATATTATACGATATGTATATTTAAAAACGATATTGAAAAACACGCATAATAATTCCATTCCGCTGTGAGCGGGTTTCGCGTCGGTGTTCAATAATATTTTGTAATAATTATAATTTTAAAATATATATTTAATTATATATTTTCTAAATATATAATTTTAAATATAGAAGATTATTTTTATTTGCACGCATTTAATAAAATATGATAATAAACGGACATGGTTGTGATACAAACGAGGAAATAAGATCACTGGTCAACTATTAACACTCACAATAACTACGTAAACTTTCAAAAAGATTGCGCGAAAAGTTTCCCTTTTTATTCAGCTGACTTCAGTATTTTATTAGGCCTTATCCACTTTCACCAAATGGCGACATTAAGAGGTATTTTAAAAGCTTTTCTCCGTTATGAATAAGGCATAAGACACGAAATAAATAAAATTGACTTACCGCTTGATACTATTCTTAAGTAAAACATTTCTCGAATGATTGCAGCAAAATAGACTTGAAACGAATTTTTGGACAAATTGCACAATGTACAAATTCTTCTAACAAACTTTTTTATTTTTCTTTAAAATAAATGATATTTAACACGGTTCTTCGTGCGAAGAAATTATTTCCATTTAAACGGCGACTAATTGTCCTGCCGCTAATATAGTCAAGACTCAATTGATTTTTAATTTCAAAAGCAGTATAAAATAAATTACTTTTAGAGAGTCTTGCAACTTGATGATCTAGCTTGTTTTCGTCGTCTGTCCGTTTGAGTACCGTTTTAACACTCCCATGTTCTTAAAATTATTTTATAATATTCGTGAAAATGCAACCATTTATACCAGACACTTTTGCAAAGTCAATTTTTCTGCTATTTTTTTCTAACATTTTTCTGTCATATTTACGCAGTTTATATATAACTCGAACTACATTTGTTTGTTTATATTATGTATTAGATATATGGCAGAAATGTGTAGTTATTCCAGTTTTCATTTTTGTCGTAAAGATTTTATTTGTAAAGATGTTTCCATTAGTTTGACATTGTTTCTAGTCTTTAGTCTTACAATTAGTAAAAATGTATTTAAAAAAAAACGCTTATAATTATACGTACAAAATTATATTGTATTTTATGTTTCTTTTAATTTTAACGCACATGTCTCAGAAAAAAATAAACAACATTTTTTAAAAAGTATCTAGTTTCTCAACTTTTGTTAATAGGTGTATATTTCTGTAAGATGTAGGTAGCATGTCAATCATTAATTAATGCTGATTTAGCCTTAGTCGCAAATAGTTAATTGACTCGTCGCGTCCACGTAGTTAATTGAACCAAGTCAATAAACATCATCGTACACACGTCGGCTAAACAGTTCGCTAATGAGAGTAAACAGATACGAGTTAAGTGTCCTACAAGACGATGACGCCGTCATTTCTCACGTAGAAAACAGTATGAAAATGTTTTACTATGTTCTAAAACAACTATAGGTTGGATGAGGTAATCTCAATTCAAATCGAGCGCTAAAAAGCATTACCTCATCTTTAATATAGAGCACGGACAGGTAATCACATCAAACAAACATATACAATAGCTAAGTTTGGTATTACCTATCTTTGTTTAGTGCCACGAATATTATTAAACATTTATATTTTATTATTATTACTTATTAGAATATTAAACATTTATTTTGCATTATTATTAAAATTGGATGCTGCTGATAAAACTTCCAATACTATAAATAATTGTTAAGTTACATAAATTTTCTTTTGTTATGTGTTTTATATTTTAATATATTGTTTAATTATAATTAAAAGATTATTTATATTTCTCTATGTAGATAGAATCGCAACTATGTTGCAATACATAAATTCAGCGAAATTCATGGTAATAATAATAATTTAATCTAATAGATTACTCAGCAATTTGAAAGTTGTTTCCGCTGTTAAATATATTTGTATTATCTGCGTACGCGCATGTAGCCATTAAAAGATTAATTTAGTCTAAAGTTTCGACGGGAGGTATTTATAGGAATTTGTTAGAAATTGTGGAAATTCGGGACAAGAAGGATGGCACGCGCGGGATGCCTCGTGTCTCGTGAAATTCGTCCGCGAAATTGGAGAATGGAGGCTGAACGGATAAAAAGGCCGCGATGCGCGAAGATGTGGACCTGACGCGGCGCGGTGGAAGCTCGAATCTCGCATTAAACGCTTGAATATTCGACGCAATGTCTCGAAGATATCTTGAGAATTTCCCGTTTCTATCCCGTTATATAGTATATGACGTAAGTCGGTGACATGTGTGATATAAACTCGCAAAACTGGAAAGTAATAATCTCGACTTAGCATTGAAACGACAGTTTTAATAGTAGATTGTTTTAGACTTTATGAAAAATGTTTATTGTGTCTCCAGCCGTAAAAAGAAAATATTGGAATGACACTTTTCTGAAGATTATGTAGATATATATTATATTGATAGAAAAATTATATTTTTATATTCGTAAAACGCTAAGCGATTTCACACTTTTCTTTAATTTGTAAAATATTTAAGAATTAGAAAATTTAATATGTTTTCGGAAATTTTCGACATAGCCTTCGAGCAAGAACTGTTGATACAGATGAAGAAAGATACAGCTGATAATAAAGTATTAAACTTATGTAAGATAAATCGCATTAAGTCGCATTAAATTCTCATGATTTTAATGCAAAAGTGACTTTATAGCACTCAAGAGGCATCGAAGACGAAGTGGGTGATGGGTCGTCTTCTTACCGGACGACACTCTCGCGAAAACTTTCTCGCTTTCTTCCAGGGACGGCTCTGCATATTTCCTGACATTTAAACTTATTCAGCGTAACTTGCGACAAGCGACGAGACAAGAAGGAGGCAAGAATGTATATCATAGCCGCCGCAACGATAACTTACTTTTTCCCTGCTTGGCCGTCTGATTTCCCCTCGCTTTAGTCTTTATGATTCTCATGAATACCGAATTGTTCCTTTCTTATATCTCGCACTTGAATTTTCTCTTTGTGGCCATGGAAATTGGCTGCGCATCGAGCCGATTGAGCGAAAAAAGAAAGATGCACATCTCTTCATCTCATCTGCTCGAGAAAAGATTATATAACGTTATCTTACAGACTTCGGAATAAGAGGTGAATGATAGAATATGCGCAGACTAGTATTATAGTTCACGATGATGAAGATTTACGACGTAATACGCGGATATTACATCTTTTGAAACTATTTTATATTTGCGAAACAAGAAATTAGCAAAAAGTTGTCGTATTTTCAAATATATAAAAATTTAGGTAATTCGAATATCGTATTTAATTTTTTTTCTAAGTATTTATTGAAATAAAAGTTTCCTTTTTTAGCGCCACAATTGCTAATATGCGTCTATATTTTCTTTGCAATGTATTTATAAAAACTGATAATTGCAGTTCAAGCAAATTGCAGAATTTGCTCTTACAATATCGTAATTAGCGAACTTGTTGGTCAGCTACCGTGCTCGAGCTGACCTCAGTTTTACCAGTTTTAAGGGGGAAAAAGCAAAGACCGCGGGGGTTACGTCGCGGGAGCACGAGAATAACGAAAGTTTCGCTTCAATTGGGTGAACGTCGACGGTTTCAGGCGACGCCGGAAATCGAGAGAACGTGGTCCGATATCCTTCGTGTTCCTGTTCGATTTAACTTCGAGGACGAAGTTGCGCGTTCACGTTGTCATGAAACTTTATCATCACCGCAACAATAATATTTTTATGTTAGCGGTAGCAACTCCGTTAATCTCAGACGAAGCCGGGCGCGACGCTCAAGAGTTCCAGTGATACTAGTTGAATTATATACAGCGAAATATGTAGAATCATCTTTTTCATTCATTCTTTCGTAATGTCGCAATTTTAATGCGAAATCAATGTAATATTTTAATTGTTATGAATTTTACAATTATATCTGTTGTAAAATAAACGAAATTCACTACTAAAGTCAACAATGTAACATTTCGAGCAGCATATTTCGAGTCGCAGTGCAAGCGGTTTATATGGTCCGTGTGTCAAAAAACCCAGTTCCATCGATTCTCTGTGTAAATATACTTTTATTCTGCTGACTTTTGATCCTCTGATTCGCTTGCCTATTGATTCACAAAATTCAAATACTATTATGTACTCATGGCGGACAAATATTTTTTTATGAAAGAATTGCTCAATCAAAAATGTCTGATAAGTCACGTTTCAAAGAACAGACCTTTTGTATCTCAAAAATGGTTCGATAAATATTATTTCACGACCTAATACATATACAATTTATATATAATTACACGTTATACTGAATTTTAGTAATTAGATGTAATTGCACATTGTAAATATCATATAGTGAAAATATAGTGAAAATTATCTATCGCGTAAAGAACTTGGCAATAACTCGCTCGAAATTTTCGAATCACATAAAAAATTTAGATCGCGAGCGCGCGAAGAGTTCTTTTTTTTCATTACACTAAGCCACGTCGCTTTTTTATATTGTTTCAGACATGCATTGGCTCGTTTGCACCTGCATCCTCACGGCGACGACGGTGCTTTCCTGCCGGCAGAGCGAGTTTCAGTGCGCCAACGGGCATTGCGTCGCCCTCAACAAAGTCTGCAACGTTGTCGACGACTGCGGAGATGGGAGCGACGAGACGCGTCCGTGTTCACGTAAGTGAAACTTTTACTTTCGATCTTGCCGCTCGCGGAAGGCTTAAAGGGGGCTTTTAACGCGCCGCGCCGGCAAATGCATATCCACTCGACGAACTAACGTAGAAATTGCGATGGCGCGACAAACGGATCGGAGATTGTTAAAGTTAGTTGGGACATTTCGAAATGTTTATTATTCGTCGTACTAAACGTTGAGAATGATATATGAATCTATAGGAGTCGTAAAGAAAGTTCAACAAGCTCTCTATAATTTGGTTAAATATGTTAAAACTTAGGAGAACTTGTCACTTTGACGTATTTTCATGGTAACTGCAATTCATATTAACGGTATACGTAAGTAAAGTTATATTTGCAGTAACAAATCATCCGTTTTCTACACTTTAATTAAATTTTTTTTCGCCGTGAACTAATCCAGTTTGTGAGAAGGCATGGGGCCGAATCGCGGATCAAAGGTCCGTTTGCAGCTCGCAATCGCGAGTATTTTGGTCTCAGTTTTCATCGCCGGGGTGTTCTAGGACGGTAATTGATCCCTTCATTGTTCTCTGGCAGGTATAGCTTCGATACTCGCTTCGAAACGTGCCTTGTTGCGATTGCCGGCAAAGGCTGCGCAGGAATTTCTACTTCGTTAGAAACGCCGACCTCTCCGCTTTCTTCCCCCGCGGGGAACGAACCAGTCGATGCCTCGCAACGTGTAAAGACAGAATGAAATTCCAACGATGTTAGGATGTTATACAAGAGTAATATTACAACGTAGTGGTGTTCAAAGATAGATCCCGTCGGAAACGTGATATTTCACGCAACACCATATATTCGCGAATGTCAAAATTTTAAACGTTGAATATACATAATACATTTGAATATTGTGGATTAAAAATAAGCGCGTGGGGTGTGTTGAAATCATAGTGACAATTATAATTTGAATATTATAATTGCCGAGTACATATGATTTATTTTGATGATAATGATATCTGCTTTTTTATTGTAACATAATAAAATTGAATCAACATTATTTGTGTTCACATAGAGAATATTAAATTTTAAAATAAGATTAAACTGCAGTCTTTATCGTTATAATATGAATATTCTCTATCCAATATTTTTTGCTTTCCATTAATAAAAATTATTTTTCAATAATAAGAATATATTTTTCTTTATTAAATTATGTATATATAATGCTTTAATGCAAATAATTTATTCTTGTTTACGTATTTATCCTTGTAACGCTGTATAATCTTATTTTAAGATTTATATATATGTCAAAAGCAAAAATATTCTCTAAATCAAAATGTTCTTTTTTTCTGTGTATAGACACGTAGGAATAAAGTTATAATTACAGTAGTAAAATTGACTGAATAAAAACTTAAAAGCGATCTAAAGCTTTTACATAAAATAGAAATCGCAATTATTTATATTTACAAAATAATCCATTTATGGGTTTATAACATTTGTGCGTGGATTCATATTTATGGCAACAATTTAATATCTCTCTTTGGTTGCAGGCGTTTTCGTGTAAATAGTCTCTGAAAATAAAATTTCGTAGGCAATTAATAAATATTTTATATTTCCATGTGTGACCGCTTTTGTATTGCGACAGATCTTATACAAATGAATTGTAATTGTATAATATATGAAGATCAGAAGTACATTGCGTTTATTAAAATTAACGATGACAAAAAAACGTGCAAATCTCTTTCTCGCCGGTGTGATGAAACCGTCAATGTGGAGAATATATCGATAAACATTTTGCTTAACCGATTTTGTTGTGTCGCAGCGAGCGAAAAAAAGATCAGAAAATGTGTGTATTGTCAATAAAAATACATTGGGACTGAAATGTTGAACTGTCACTTTAACGCAATGTTCCTCACGTTGAGTTGAATTGACGGTAACAGACTGAAAGTTGCAACCTCGCTCTCGCCAGTTGACGCAAATGATTCCTCGACATTTATCTGCGGAATAAATAAATTTTGTCCGTATTAAACAATTATTATAAAGTGGGCCTGTTCGCGCGGAACTGCGTCTGCTGTTGTGCGGTGAAATCCGTGGGATCAGCAATATCACAAAATGAAAATGAGATTGTTTAACGTAATGGCTTACCGTCGTATAATAGAAAAATTGAAGTTGGCGCGAAGTTGGTGAGTACAGCGGCCACTTCATTTCACGAGAATCTACGACGTGCCCAACGAGATGATTCTATACGTAAAAGAGACGCTCCCCTTAGTCAGACCTGCCTGTTATCGACAGATCGTGATAAAATAGAGCAGTTCGCAAGCGGGCAATTCGGTGGCAAAAAAATGGGCTCGTCCCTTAATCGTACGTATACGTGTCCACCTTTCCTCGACATCTAATTTCGAGCGATTTATTTTTCTCCCTCGGCATACCCGTTAAAGGTGCCAACTGCCACGTCTGCTTATCAAAATTTAGGTGTTCATCATTAAAATGATCATCGCAATAATCATTTGTAACTTGTATAAATCATCTTTGTTTAAATGTTAAGTAAACTAAGTTTATAATTTTAGGATCTCTTTCTCTCCGAGAAAATCAGAAGTACCATTAAAGTTTCCAAGAACGAGATTCGAAGAAAATGTTTTATTTTAATGCTTAGCTTGTTAAAGATTTGACAGTGAAAGCAGATAAATGTAACTCGCATAAAAGCATTTTATTAATGCTTTTCAACTTAAGTATTTAATTTAAATTTAACGGTGCCTCAGGCTTATTTGGAAAGCAGTAATCACATTTTCGCCTCGCTGCAGTTTGTCGAAAACTGGGCGGAATTCGTCCGACTGTCAATTACAATTTAAGCAGATGCGTACGGCGTCTGAGAAGGGTCCCGGGTAAATCCCCGACCGGCTCTTCACTCTAAGAAAACCAACCCTCGCCACGCGCGCACAATAAAACGCTCGCCAAAATACACGGCGGACGTTTCCATGGCTGCCCGGAATTTACTGAATACTCCGGCGGGGCCATCAGCGACGTCGTAGTCGTTTAATCTACCAGGGGTTTTTGCCTAAATCCCCACGTGCACGGACGAAATGCCCCTGCCTTGTATATCCCCCTTTCACCTCGGTGGCGCTTGGCTGCAAAACCAGCCAGCCAACCAACCGAGCCGTCCCTTTCCAAAATCCAGCATCGCGCGTATATATGCTTGGCGTATAATTAACCCAAGTTACGAGATGCGTTTATACACGGTGTGTATACACGACGGCATGCGGCACGAGTAGGAAATTACTTCTGGCAACGTGGACATTCCTTTATTTGCGCGAGCGACAATAGGTTCTTCGCCACGCACGCGGAATGAAAACGCTTCTGATTTCGTTCGCGTCGTTACGTTGCGTTACGTCGAAATGCCTCCTCGTTGATCGATTTTAGATCCCGACTATTCTGCGTTTGTGAAATAATGTGAAAATGAAAACAAATTGAATGCCGTAAACTCCCTGAATTGACAGAATAAATTCTCTAAAGTTAACTATAAAAGTCAAAGAGTGAAATATTATTTAAAACAAGTGAAATGCAAGTGTAACGAAAAGTGAAAATTGAGCCTGTGCACTTCTAGTAATTTGTCACTCAAAAAGAGTAAAATTGCGTTCTATAAGTTTGAGTGAAAAGGCACTCTTTTCGAGTGCAGCGAATTATGTCATTCTACAATTTTGAGTGAAAAATTTCACTCTGGTGGAGTCATTTATCGGTCAATTAGTTAATCGTACGTGATTCACTATAGCTTTAAAGTGAGATCATATCAGTCCGATAAAGTAGCCGGTCTAAAAATTTGAGTGAAAAATTCACTCCTATCTTATGAGTGCCCACATTTACTCTAATTAGAGTGACAACCCTCTTTCTTTTGGAGTGACTATCGCAATCACATTAATTCTTTAATGTATTAGTGGCGAAACCACTCTATAAGATTTAGAGAGAAAACTTTATCTCGCGTTTATGGAAGGCAATTTTTGTAAAATATAGCGTATAATACAGTTTGCTGCATTATCTTTATTCATTTTTGATAAATGACTGCACCTGTTATTTATTTTGGCTCTTTGTAAGAAAAATAGCATGGGACATTATCCAAACATGACATATTACGAGAAGGTCAATTATTTCGCGATTCATAAATCTTATCGTTTATTCGCGTTAATTGATCTATGCGGAGGCACAACCCCGTTACAGGCGGTAAACCTTAAGCAACTTATAAAGACATTAACTCCGTGCAGGGGAGTAATTAACCTAAATTACCACCTGCAGAGTAAGTGCGGAGCGCAATAACAAATGCGTTTTATTGGTGCAAGAACATTCGATTGCAGGAAGCGAATTCTCCTCTCGTTAACATAATATACGCGACATTGCGCGGAGTTAATAAATGTACATTACGAGAGCGTATTAAGTTCCCACTTTCAGTCGAGTAACGCCGAGTTTCGCCGGGACGGAAAGGGTTGCTTGAAGAACGTTGCAAGTTATCTCCTTCGTCGTACGAGGGTGCAAGCGAAACATTCTAGTCACGTATCGGTAAAGCCTAGGTATTGTGCGGACCGGAGAGAAAAATCGTTCTGCAAAAAGAGGTCGCAATGCTCTCGTATATTCGACATCAAAGTTCAGACGAGAAGAGGCGCAATTTTTGGATTATATATCTATAGACTGTAATAATAATAATAATAATAATTTTGCTTGCTTGACTGCTTAATTCTCCTATCTTAATTTATAAAATAATTTCCAAAATTAGTGTTTATTATTTTTACCTTTTACTATATTTTTTTTACCGTTTTTCTCCTTTACTTACGTAACAAATTAAATTTTATGGTATGTCTGAAATGCATTACATTGGGTACACGATATAGTTCAGAAGGCAACATAGAATCTATGTATATAAAATAATATATTCCGCAAGCAACAGAGGAACGATTATTCGGGGTATGACTTGACTGAGAATTTTCTGAATGACATTATCGATTAGAGTCCTCTCACGCGGCGGAAGACGTCGGTTCGACGATTGCACCATTAAATGTCCCATTTATCTTCCTCGTACCTCAATGCGAAACTTTTGAAATAAAATAGCTTGATAGTCGACCTCCCACCGTTACATCGGCTCATAAAAGGACACAATTTCTCTCTCGACTGGAAGCCTCGGCTCCTCGAAAAAGGAAAGGTGCAGGCTCGCCAAAGTTACGACAGGTAATAACAAACTTTCGTATTATTCTTCCTTCTTGCGACACAAATGAAACGCTCGAGCAAGCGGGTTAATTTATATCAATTACACCGGCTGATGCGATTAGATCTGAGGAGGATAACGAAAGAACAAGGAAAAGGGGGCCAGTTAAGAAGTTATCTCCCATATCACATGTTTGATACTTTTTCTACCAATTACTGAAAAAGGCTACGCGTCCATCCAACTGACAACTCCTTTGGAATCTTCTTTCCTATTCTTTCGTTACCTAATTAGGCATCGTTTGCATGAGGAAATAATTTTTTGAACGAATACGTCGGAATATGAAACAATTTCCACAAGACGAGACAAATTGCCTGTTACGAGCGACTTAAAGCCGAAAATATGTGCGTGATATACGAAACATGTAATAACGTTTATAAGATGTCGCATTTCTCCTTTCCCGTTCCTAAAATTAATGTTCTTCCGAAATAAAAGGAAATTTGCGTGCCACGAGAGCATTAGACGGAAACACAATAATAATTTCAGAAGTAATTAGAAAGCTTGTGAAGCATCGCGGATATTATCGTGCATTATCCGCAGTGTGATTACGCACAAGTCATAATGTTCCGCAAAGCGAGTGCAGAAAGTAGGATTTTAACGAGCTTATTTTTATAAAAGCTCAGTGCTTTTTCTTTTTCCACTACCTGCAGACAGAAGGGGTATAGAGACATGAAGGGTATCTTTTCCTTTCTGTCTTATTTCTCTCACGGTCCCGTTTCTCCCAGCGGAAGTAAACGGCTGTAACTCGCTCGGCGCTCTCTAGTGAAATTGCGGGAGCCAAAATTGCACGGGGGCACGGTATATATATATATATATATATATATATATATATACACGCATAAAGGAGACCGAAACTCTCGCGGAGAGTACATAATCGTGACACTCGGTGAGCAAGCATTTATTTATAATACATGCCGCGAAGTTGTCGCCGTTGATATCTACGCGCTGGAGATGCACCTGTACACAAAATGCATATTAGCCATTTAACTTCTTGTAAGAATCCAAAGTTACTTCGGAAGTATACATATAATCGTTGTTAGCTTTATAAGAGTACATGAGATTGTTAACTCTTCACAAATAATTCCACAAGCAACACAATGAAAGTACGAGCAAATATGCTTTATATATAGTTATATTAGTTTAATTCTTTGTTTTCCATACATTTACAAATGTAATAACAAAAATAATATCTGTCTTGCTTAATTCATCTATAATGTAACAGAACTGAACTTGTGTGATGAAAAATATGTTTTGCTTGATTAATGTAGAATATAACAGAACTTTACTTTTACTTATGTAATGTATAGAATTTTTTAACACATTGAAACTATGTTGGATTATATATAAGAACCAGAGAACTTAAATAATGTTCTTTTTTTTTCTTCAAAATAAAGCGAAGTTACTCTTTGTGCTCTTCGTAAAAACTTATTGAACTCGAATGCTGAAAAAAGTAAAATTAAAAATTAGAGTCCTAAAATAGTGAAATTAATTGCGTCGAGTATTTGAGATAGGAACATTTTAATACCTGATGCTTTGTCGTCAGAATCATTGTCAGTTTTATTATCCCGTCGCGGAGTAGGTATGTTTCGGGGAAGGAGCCATTTGTGTGTCTTCTTCGGCACAAATTGGCGATATATTGGAAGTCGGAGATAATCTGTAATTACACAGCGATCCCTCGCACAATGATGGCGCACCTACAATAAAGTTTGTGTAATTTATTTACATTTATAACAAATAAATACATCTAATTTTTTCAATTATAAAAGACGAGCAACTTAATTATAATCACAACCTTTTGATATGAAATCCTGATCGAAGGAACTCATATTGCTGTCACAGTATTCGTAATTCGTCGGAGAAAACATACTGCTTGCGGCAACAGTCGGCGGGCGCTGAACGGGTTTCGCCATTAACGGCGTAACATTGAAATGTACGGGTTCTATCTTTTTAATCTTCGGGACCGACAGGGCCGAAGATTTCAAATCCATTTCTTTAACAATAGTCGACGGCTGAGGAGTAGTTATTTTATTGATACTTTCTATACTATCCTGCCTTTGAAGTCGCATCCTTTTTGCTTTAATTTCGTCCTGTGTATTCTTGGCGGCACTATGCTTGAGCGGGCTTTCTTTTGTAATACGGTAGCTTGGTTGCGTTTTAACGGGCTCCTGCGATTTCTGCGTCTCTTCGTGATGGATCTCTTTCATTTCTACGTCGTTGTCGTCGGCTAAAATCGCTTTCTCAGCACTTGGCTCCGCATTCGATGCTACCGAAGCGGCGCGGGCGGCGCGCGTATCATCTTTTTCCGAAACGATAGTATTTTTCGAATCAGACCTTTCCGTTTCAACTGCAGTAAGCTTGTAATTGTTGTCACGTGTCGCCTCTACGTCCATTCTCTCAGGCGACACCGTAGTGCTCTCGTTTATGCATAACTCCTCCAGGTACAAGGTATTGACGGATATGGTATCTAAAAAGCAAATGACTTTGATATATAGGACAACGCATATGTATATGCATGTGTCCATAAATAAAGCCCTTGTCCTACATATCTAGGTACAAGACAAGGAATTAAAAAAGTATAAAATGAATTTTCACCGTCGAGAGGCTCGTGAGCCCGTTTCCACTGATCCTGTTGCACTCTCGCGCGCATTTGATTTTGCGCGTACATTTCTCGAAACGGTATATTGATCTTCGGCGGCGCCATTTCCAGCATTTGCTGTTTCCTCTGCCTTTTCTGATCCTCCTCCTTCCTGCGCAATACTTGCAGCTACGAAAAGCGACTAATTAAATACTTACTTATACATTGAATATATGTATATTGAAAAATTATTTTAACATAGTCTGGATACCTCCGCTTCGATTGACTGAAACTCTTTCCTGTGATATTTTACATTCACTTTTAGCTTCACCAATTTCTGCTCTAATTTCAAACGCTCTAACATCATAGTGACGAATTCGATTATCCTGCAGCGCGTGCGGATCCAGTTGACACGTCGCCTCTGCTTGACAATCGTTATCATCTCCGCTTTCTTGTAAGACATGACCATATGTTCGATTTTAAGCTTCTCTAAATTGTTCTTGGCCGCGTTCCTGGCCTTTGCCAGTGGAAATTCTTCGTATACATCCTGCTCGTGAACATTTATTTGATTAAATGTTGAAATTGCACGAGTAAACACGAGACTTAATACTTACGCGATATTCGTGCCATGTTTTCTTGTATTCGGCTACAATTTCTTGATACTCTTGCGATCTCAGTTGAATCAGCTTGTATTGATCATCGGCATTTGCTTTCATAGTTTCTAAAGAGTCCGAGGCTTCGTTGATGCTTATATATAACCTGTATGACGCAACAAAATTCCGATACGTAAATTCAAGAAGAATGCAGTATAAAAATATAAAAATGTTAATCGCCAAGATTAGATAATTATTTCGTGTACTTTGTTAAAGTCTCGCTTAATATCAGTTTAATCTTGTTCATCTGCGTGATCTTTCTTTTAAGTTCCTTTCTTCTTTTCAGTTCGCTACGCATCGTCACCTTCAGTTGTTTTATTTCCTCCATATTGGCTAGAAATTATCAACAACATTCTTTTCTCAGCAAGTAGTAGTAAAAGAAAATCGAAAAATCGATAGGTAAAAACGTAAGAGTAATTGCATGAGAATGTCTTTCCTTCCCACTCAAGTTTTACATTTCATTGGAGTGCTACGTCACACTTTACTTACCGTCGAGATTTCCCTTGACTGCCGCAATTTCCATTTTTAAACAGGTTTCTAGCACTTTCACAAATTGAGGATCGTCGTGACTCTCCTGATTATCCATATCTATTATTTTTTTCGTCGAAAATTACTTTTGTGCGATGCGACGCGATACGTGCGTACACCTTGAAGCGACGCTATTTTTTTTGAATGGTCTGAAGTTGTATGCAATCGAGGAACAAGTGTCGCACTTAGCAGGGGCAAATGGTGACTTTTCGGGCCTGCTGCTAATACTATTTCAGGGATCTTTTTTTCGGAAAGAACAAAAAATTGCAATAACGTCAAAAAAAGACAAAAAAATTACTATAAAAACTAATTTTTCTATCATAACTCACAATCGTTTTCTCATTATTTTTATGTCACTATAATTTTATCTGTTTTATCTAGACAACAGCTTATAATAATATTTAAACATTAATAAATATACAATTTGAATAAAATGTACTTATAATAATTAAGTAATATTTATAAAAACTATATAGACGGTTTAACGTTTTATAGAAATAATTAAATTAAATTTATAAGAATAAACTAACTATATACAGGATCTCACGTACAGGGAAGTTGCTGAAACCAATTAGCTTTTATTCTGTAATGCATATACGGATCGGGAAAAATAAAAAATATCGAGAAAAATAAAATTGCGTTTAATAGAAGACATTTGGCAGTTTTATTTGAGTATAATGTTAAGTATAATGGAAAATTTTTACTTAATTTTACTTGATTTTATAAAAAGTAGCAAAAATCAGATATTCTATTAATATGTACGTGTTTTCAAAGTGCACCCCGTTACTATTTCAACAAAAATCAATTGTTTTAAACCGCATAAAACTTTGTGTTAACAATCATTTATTACACCATTACTTTAAAAACATATATTAGAATGTCTGTAATTTTTGCTACGTTTTATAAAATCAAATAAAATTAAGTAAAAATTTTCCATTATAGTATACTCAAATAAGTATACTGCCAAATGCCTTCTATTAAACGCAATTTTATTTCTTCCAACACCTGTATGCGTTAATAATAATAGTTAATTAGTTTCAGCAACTTTCCGTGGGACACCCGTATATATGCATATAAACACTCATAGTATATATAAGTAGTTACACACATAATATATATAAAACATAGATATAAAAAGACAAAAGCAAAAGCTTTTAAATTTAAAAGCAAAAGCTTGTAAATTTTTAATTTTCTTCTGCAATTTGCGTTTATATATTCTTTTATGGCTTTCTTTTATAAGTGACATCTCTTATGATGTTAATTTTTATTGAAATAATTGATAAATAGACCAGTATTTTATCTCTTATTATATATTTGTATACACTCATAAGTGTCGGTTCGGTAATTGTCGCTGTTTGGAGATTCCCTTCTCGTTGCAGCCCTGTTGCTTACATATAAACCCGCCCCTAGCGATTAGCATGGTATGCGGTATAATCGCGTATTAATCCGACAGTAAATTCGATCATTCTAATACAATTGTAAGAAAGAATGGAACGTGCAGAGAATCTTAATTTATCTAAAAGATATTTGAGTTCTTATCAGTGATAAAAGTTACCGAGTGCTTTGCAAGCATTACTTAGCTGCAACGGCGAATCGGAGGAATGGACGCGGCGGAAGTTGGTTATTTAGTTGTTCGCTGTTGGCTCCTATTCGCAACACTTTCAGCGGCTAACTTGTCACGGAACTCGCAAGTTTCCACGAAAACGTGTACCATAAACACGCGTCTACTCACCAGAGGTGAAAGAAAAACGAAAAGACGGAGAGAGAGAGAGAGAGAGAGAGAGAGAGAGAGAGAGAGAGAGAGAAAGAGAGAGAGAGAAACTTGGCCGTATAACGTTTCCCTCGTCTCGCCTTCGCGCCGCAAAAATTACGATAGTTTCGACGGATGGCGGCGTTTAGTTTGGTTTACTCGCCGCGAAAGTTCGATTGTTTGCCAAACGGTCGTAACTTCAGACTGGGCTTCGTTAAAAGCGGGGCCGGCCCCGCGCCAGGCCATACATATATCCTTGCGGTATGCTTTGGCACAAATGTGGCTCCCGCCGATTACGAGAAGGGACGACGCCGATGACCACGAGTGCAAAGCGAAGATAGCGAACGAAGCGAAAAATACGGCCGAACTGATCATAAATCTGGACGAATTTTGTCCGGCGATACGCCGTGTAATATTTAATATTTAGCGTCGTCGTTCTTTACGAATAGCGAAGCCCACTTGATGGTTGCCAAAAGAATAGAAATATCTAAAAATGTGACACTTGTGATAAACAATTATCACGTTGCGCTGAGAAATAAAAATATAGGTACTTCAAAAGTAACAATTTTTTAGCGAAATATCCTACATATCAAATACAAATTAATGGAATGATAAAAGTGATGCATGCATCAATCGAAATTTTATGATTTTTTCCGCCGTTCAATAGGAACCCTTCAAAAAACTATGATTAATAAATCCATCAGCATATAAAATCGACAGAATATCCAATAGTTTAAAGACTTTAAAGGGACAGATGAAAATTTGGTAGCAATTCTGAAATGATATTGGGTGATTTATCTACTTGGTTGCCAAGAAGATAAAAATATCTAAAAATGACATTTGTGACAAACAATTATCACACTGCGTTGAGAAATAAAAATACAGGTACTTTAAAAGTAACTATATATTTTAGCGAAATATCCTATTATATCAAAGACAAATTAATGGAATAATAAAAGTGATGCATGCGTCGATCGAAATTTTATGATTTTTTTCGCTCCGCCGCCGTGCCATTTAATAGGAACCCTTCAACAAACTATAATTAATAAATCCATCAGCATATAAAATCGACAGAATATCCAATGGTTTAGATGGATAGAGATGAAAATTTGATAGCAATTCTGAACGGTGATGTAAAAGGAAAGACTTCAAAAGGTAGAAACATGTTGCATTGTCATTATTTGACAAAGCAACAAACAATTTTGTTTAAATTGAAATACGTATTAATCTCCGATATTTAACTTTCACATAGAAGTCTGTCAATAAATATTTAATGTTTACCTGTAGCTTTATATAAATTATAAATTAATTATTTGGTTAAATTAATTTTATACTTCAAACAACAGATGAAAAAATGCATCGAGAAATCTCAAATGCTTCCTATAAAAAATGCTTTTTATTTATCTGATTTGTAGATTGAAACTTAAGTGTGTACTATAATGGATTATTCATCTGTAATAGAGTATCATCACAGTGATAGCAAAATAATCACTTAAATTGTCTTGACCACGAGACCATTGATCCGATCGCGCATCCTTTTGTCAATGGCGGGAGGTACACAGGAGAAACCAGCCGCGTGTTTGCAAGTTAATGGAAGTGAGTGACAGCCGATCAACTTATCGGCTCCGAAAATTGATATCCGACGCGCCGCGTATTCACCCGTGTCGCCTGTATTTCCATCGGAAAAATATAAGTAAAGATTCGAGCTGGAGTGCTGGCTCGTCGACAAGGGATGTCCGGGGAACACGGCACGCTGGCTGTCGGCCAACCCAGTCCGCATTTGGGTCAAACTGACCCGCGCCGCCACCCTCCGACGGATCCCGCATCGCCTCTTCACCTCCGCATCTCCCCCTGCGGGGGTAGAGATAGCTGCACGATGACTGTTCCTCTCCTGCACAGCGCCGGGCGACCTAGTCGGTGCAGCCTCCCCGCTGCTTTTACGTCCGGACACGCGGTGCACTCTCTCTCTCTCTTTCTCTGACAAGGCGCACTTCATCGTGGAAGATTTGTAAACGCGCCGAGTGGCGACTGCACGAATAATCTGGAGGAGCTTTCGGTCGAATCGATTCGAGCATTCGTGGAAACGGAAAGTCGACTTTTTGGAGACATTCGGGGTGTATTATGTCTCTGCTGATATCCGAAGACCTCTATACCGTAACTATAGTACGTGAAAATATATCTGTATCTTAGAGGTAAAGAATCGTATCTTTATTATTAGAAATTTAGAGAAAACAGGATTTAAAGTTTATTATTTCTATGAAAATTTCCGATTTTTTAAAACATTGTATCTTACAAACTAATATATAATAATGGACATGAGACTGTTTACCATTATAAAATTTGGACTTCAGGTACATTGGAAAAAGTATTAACTCTAATTTTGACAAAGATTGGAGGTACGATTCTTCATCTCTAAGATACATCAGATATATATTTTGATTTTATTATTTTATTTACAATTTATGGATTTATATTACATTATAAATGGAAAACAAATTAAATAACACATTTAGCTAATGGGCATGGAGATAGGAACTACTATTGTACGTAACTCCACATGCACCAGAAGCTGTTAAAGTTCCCGGCATAATTTATGGCGCGATCATTTCATCGCCAGCTTCTACTCCCTTTTGAGACTAATGGAAATCGTACTGTGGAAAGCGTGAGCAGAACCCATAAAGAACTTGTCTATACCGCGCCCATGACTGGCCGAGGTTATCAATGTTAAAATTGGTTATCATCGAACAGAGTAACGTCTCTGGTCAGGCGATCTCTCTCTCTCTCTCTCTCTCTCTCTCTCTCTCTCTCTCTCTCTCTCTTTCTCTCTCTCTGTATTTGTTGCCTCGCAGGGAGTAATTTGCTAAATTAAGAAACAGAAAGACGGATCCAAGGAATGTCTGAAAGGCATCTATAATGCACCTCAGGGCGTGTATATTCTTTTCTTTAGAGTTGTTTTTTATAATTACAGAGCGGGATCTTCAAGGGGATGTAACATTTGTTACGTAATTATAGAGAAAAGGCTTTTCACTGAGTATATTTAAGCATAACTGAAAGCGACCGTACGTACATACATTTATTTATGATACTATTCCTATGAAAATATCTTGATTTCTAAGACCTTCAGATTCCCTGCAAACAACTTGCTCGGATGCATTCGCACGATTCATCCTGCGAATCGGTTTTCTTGAGGGAAATTCTGCTGGAAGCGCGCGGAGAGATTTATTCGCGATGCGCAGGCAGACACGTACGATAACAAAATATCGGAATTATGAATCTTTCATGGACGGCGATGCTGCCGCCCGCCCCGACGAAATTGAAACGGGACCGAAGTGCCACAATAAAAAGCGGCTCGACTCGAAATGGCATTCCTTTCACAGCTGCGCCAATAATTGATCGCCCAGAACGTAGATGAATGTCTATTGACGTTACACGAAAACGCAGGATAAATACCTACCGTGTTGCGAACGGTC